CGTCGCTGGCCTCGAGGGGTGCCTCGTGAAGAGCCGCGGAGTTTCACCGTTTAGCGGGTGTTACGGCTGTATCTGGCTAGGGAGGCTCGCGGGACTCCCTGAGGAGGCTACGCGTTTGGTAAGCAGTCAGGCTGTTGCAGTCTTAAGAGTTTGATTAAAGAATGCATTTCTCAAAATGTTACGTTTAAAATTCCTCGTCTGTGCTAATCTGTTTTTGAATGGAAAATTAAACTCAATGTAATTTGAATTAAAATTTATTTAACAGGTAAGAAAAAGTCATGCAAGATATGTAGAATACAGGAGGCAGATGTCAAGTATGTTCTGTATTTTAAAATTCCTGAAATTAAAAAGTAGAGGTAGTTAGTAACTAGAAGTGGGAAGACTTCCGGTTTTCTCAGCCCTACAATATACCTCAGCATTGCAAACCGGTTTTATGGATTAAACTGAAAATGAAAACAAGTTTTTCTTTTAGTTCCTAAACCATTCTTTGCTTGTGACTAGATTAGGTATTGAGCTAATGTGAAGAAATTATTTCTTTAAATTTTTGGATAGCTGACTTGACATAGCCAGTTCAGTAGGTCAACTACTCCCAATTTATTTTTTTCTTCTCTCCCAGCAGTTTGAATTTCCTTAAAATTTCAGTGACCAAGCCTATTTGAAATACAGTTGGTTCTGTATTTTGGTATTTCAGTCAGGCTTTATCATAGATGGATGTCTTTCAAATTACTCCTTAAATATTTTAATGAAAAAAATGCCTGTGTGAGTTTGCCTGTCTTATGTATTTAAAATATGTATTTTCATAAGAAACTGATTTTTCCAGTAATGTTGAGTCTTGCTCAAAGGCCAGTTCCGAACTCCTTTTGCAGCGCTGGGATACTTGTTTTGTTTGCATCTCTGTCTACCCCAGTGTATTTGGCTATCAGCTTTCATGAAGTTTTGGAGCACTTATCTCCTTGCATTTCTAAGTCTACCTGAAATTCTACAGAAAGTTCAAAAAACGACTGATGGGCAAAAGTCTGCATAGAGATGTGTGTGCTGTACTGTTGCATAAGTGTTGTACTTTTGATAAAAACTAGAGCCAAGGTGTCCAAATAAGTTTATCTTCAAGTCCATTTATTTGCCTTCTACAGATTTGGGAGCACTTAGCATCTCCTTGGGGTGCTTACCTCTTTCTCCAATTGGCTCTAGCAAGCATCATGAGGTTTCTAAGTGGTATTACCATATCTTTTGATGCCTCCGAAGAAGAAATGTACCCACAAGGCCAGGAAGGCAGAGCTGGTGTTCCTTGAGAGGCCACGAGAGGGACCCGTCCATTGCTATGAAACGCCACTACCTTCGGCCGAGAATCCAAGACGTGTTCCTACAAAACCTGTAGACCAGAACACCTCTGATGCCTGGGTTGGTATAGATTATTCTTCCCCCTGCGTCTTACAGCAATGGTTTTCAAGTTTCTCCCGTATGTCTCAACGGAAAGCTATCTGTTCTGGATACTGAAGATTAGTAGTACAGATCTGAATTCATTGTAGCTGCCTAAAGCATAAATAAGTGCTTTTGAGTTGCTTCACATTTTAACTACAACCACTACAGTTTTGGTTATATGAAGGCATAAAACTGTGTGCAGTGTGTACTGATTAATATGACTATTGGTCTTCTGAAAGAATAATTCTCATCATGAAAATGCTGTCTTTATGGAAACAGAAAACCCTGCACATAATAAACATTAAGGGGAATTTTTTTTTATTGGCTTGCTGCTTGAAGTAACCGCTGAAGTCTAAATGTTACATGTTAAAGTACTAGGTGTTTTGTTTAAATCTGACACTGCTAAATTTAAAGAACACAGGCTTTCACTTCAGGATTACTTGTTGTAACCTGCCCTCTTTTCTGTTCTGTGTTTTGAATAGTTTCTCTCTACTCTTCTGATGGGCTCCTTTTCTGGTCTGAAAAGATATTCCAGGGACTGTTTGCAGTGTCCTAAGATACTCCTTATATAATGTAATGATTTTTTTTTTTTTAAGCAAACAGGTGCTGCAAGTACAGACTGTTCCTACACAACAATAGTCATCACCTACAGGAGCTCTGTTTATGCATTATTGCTGCTTGACTCTGCTCTTCACGAAGTAGGCTCAGGAAACATAGTTTCAAACCTGCATGAAACATTCCTTTGTTGCTGGTGACCCGGAGTAGTTCTGTGGTGCCTTAACCTTGAAGTAGAACATGTTCAATTTATTTCTTTTTAATTTTTTTATATGTTTGAGGCAGTTAGCTCTATGGCTTCTGAAACGCTAAGTCAAACAACTGCTGTGAATAAGTATTCTTTTTCTTTGGAAGAGGTGGAAATATCCATACTGATACTTAGGTCTTTGATTACAAACATTGAATGATTCTAAAATTTGAGTGAAGATATCAGCACTGAAACTGTTGGATTTTTCCATTTGAAAATCCTGGGAGGTTTATAACTTCTTGAAGCATCCTCTGCAGAGTTTCTGTCAACTTGTTTAAGTGGCAACTGATTTTTCTGCTCTTCTCTTCTTGATGTTTTCTAAGGTTTTTTTATACCTTTTTTGACTGCTAGGCTCCTGCATTGGTAAAGCCTACCCTACATTTTCTCTGAAGCCAGGAAGTCATAGCCTCAAAGTCAGCAGTTCACCTGTGTTAAGTATGTGCCAGGATACAATTATCAGGGAATCATTTCCCTTTTCCTGCACAAAGGCTTTGCACTCAAACAGTTCAGTTGTACAGCAGACAATCACTACCCTTAATTAAATTGCACTTAGTTTTTTGAGGGACTATGTAGTAACTTAGGAATGATGAAAGGGGTTTGTAGTTAATCATAGCTAGAATGCAGTTTGATGTGCTCTAGGGAAAAGCAAATTGCAAGAAATGGAACCTGAATCTTTTTGTTGATACCCAGAAAGATAAAGAATACTGTAATAGAAGGCCTTTCAGATTTTGAGTAAGATTCCAGAATCCTTCAAAGAAATATAGATTGTTGAGCTCTGACAATCTTCTATAGAAAGACAATTTTAGAAGTGGCTTTTGGGTGATCTGTTACTCCAGAATACAGAGATTAACTATGTTTTGACGTAAAGATGTTTTGGGGGAATATTGTGAAAGCCATATTAACATAATCTAAGGTGATGGAGCTAAGCAGGCATCCTTTAAATCATACTGTAGAGGTTGAACTGAGAGCAATACCTGTTTAGGGATACTGAGGGTGTAGTTCATTGAATCTATTCAGAGTTCTGCAAAGACACAGAAAGAAACAGGATCGAGCTCTGAACTGTTGTAAATCTGCAGAGGTTACAGGAGTGGACACCAGTTACGCTGTTCTTTAAAACCCAAATCTTGAGTTCTTTTTAAGTTGCTAGAGAATAGTTCACTTTGGGCCCCAATCACTTTTCAGAGAAGAGTGGCAGGAAATGATGTTGAAGTTCGGAGGTATCTCCTGCTTAGTAGCTTGGTTAGTGACTGATTTGCTTTGCTGCAGGTGGCATTACCCACTTAATGAATGCACTGAAAAAAGATGGGATAGGTGGGGGAGTAGAATCAGGTTGGCATTCCTTTGTCTGGAGAAAATTATTGTTTTTTTCTTATGTCTTCAGGTGTGCCCACAATTTAAAACAGCTGAGTCAGTGGTGTTGAAAGCATGCCAGAAGCAGCATCGTGGTGCTCACAGACCCCAGAATCAGGATGCCAACCACAGTTCACTTTATGCAGGAGGAACTTGTCGAAGAGCTATAGCCTGCAAATTTCCTTCTTTAACTTTTGAGAATCCAGAAGGATATGACCCCTCAGATCATCCAAATCACTTGAGGAATAGCACACAGCAATCTCACAGACAGCCCAAGAAAGGGACATCAGCAAAAGCCAATGTCCAGGCGAACAGTCCAGAGAACTGTAGAGAAATACCTTTGTTAGCTGCTCCCCAACCTGTGGAGCCAGAATTCTTTAGTCCACCAGATGTAGAGACTCCACAGGTGCCTTCCATAAGGAACTGGAGATGCAGCAGCACTCTGCCACAGAGAAGTAGCCATGCCTGGCATCCAGAAAAAGAGCTGGCATTTGGTATTGATTCCTGTGGGAGAGGGGAGTCAGCAGCAGTACTGGTTGCAGATACTCCTGAGCATGAGTATGGAGTAAAGGTTACTTGGAGACAGCGGCCTCATATAATGAAATACCTGCAGGAGAGAGGGAAGCTGAGTGCTGCTGACATACTGGTGAAGATTAACCCTGAGCTCTCAAGGAGGCAGAGCAATGTCTGACTTGGCAGGAGCAGTAATTTTGTTATGTGCAAAGACATATCCAAATAGACAATGTTACTTTCAAAGATGAAGAGGGGAGATCATTTAAGCTAAGCCTTGTGCTACTGCTGGCCGATCCTCCGGAGAAATGCTGCAAAGGCACGGGGGGTGGGGGGGGTGCTTTCTTGGGGATGAGGGTGTGTTGGGCCGGGCCTCCTTGGGGAACGGGGTGACTCTGGAATGAGCTTTCTAAGCTACGTGGCTGCTTGTAGGGGCTGTTACTCCAACCCCGGAGGCGGTGCAGGGCACGGAGCAGTAGGGCCGGGCCCCAGCTGTCCCACCAGGATCCGGCGGCGCGCGCGTGAAGGGGGCGGGACTGGGATCCTGCCAGGCGCAGGCAGCTCCCATCTCGCGCATGTGCAGGACACGCCCCTCTCCATTGTGAGGTGCCGGTGGCCAATCGGCGTGCTGCGCCTTCGGCCAATGGTGTGGCGCGTCGGTACCGAGTTCCGTTGCCAA